ATACTATCACATCGAGCTGTCACTCCACTCGAAGCAACTCTGTTCCATCGTACTCCCGTGGGGAGAGTACGAGTACCAGAGGTTGCCAATGGGCCTATGTATTAGTCCCCACATCTTCCAAGAGAAGATGGGAACACTAATGCACGACTTAGAATACGTCCGTGCAAACATTGATGATCTACTCATCCTAACTACGGCGATCTAGCAGATCACGTTGAAAAATTAGATGAAGTTCTCCGAAGGCTTCGAGAAGCGGGACTTTAAGATTCATGCTACCAAGTCCTTCTTCGGCAAGAGGAGAACTTGAGTACCTTGGTTACTGGATCACTCGAGAAGGGATCCCACCTATAACCAAGAAAATAAACGCGATCAAGAATATCGCCCCTCCTACCAACAGGAAGGAACTCCGTAGATTCATTTGGACTAGTGAACTACTATCGAGACATGTGGATTAGACGATCCACTGTACTGGGCCCCACGCGCTTCGTTTACTTCCAAAACAACGATGTGGAAATGGGAAGCCGAACACGACAAGGCCTTTACCCAGATGAAGAAGTCATCAGCAAAGAAACCTTGCTCGGCTACCCTTGACTTCAATGACACATTCGTTATCCACACGGATGCGAGTGATACTCAACTAGGCGCAGTGATTTCCCAGAAGGGAAAACCTATCGCGTTCTACAGTAGGAAGCTCAACCCTGCTCAGACACGTTACACAGTTACCGAGAAGGAACTTCTCAGTATCGTAGAAACTCTAAAAGAGTTCCGTAACATTCTTCTAGGACAGAAAGATCGTTGTACATACGGACCACAAGAATCTTACATGTAAGAAACTTCAATACCGATCGCGTAATGCGATGGCGCCTTATTCTGGAAGAATACGCCCCTGAACTACGGTACATCAAGGCGAACAGAACATCGTCGCTGATGCGTTGTCGGAACTTAACATCTCCAACAACGACGGTTCTCAGACAGATGGCTGCCAGCGAGATCGCTGAGCTCATGGCTGCAGACGAAGAGGACTTCCCTAACGAGTTCCCTCTCTCGTTCCCCGATAACGAACATCCAAAGACTACTCCACCCCCAACGATACTGAGCAATCTTTCCCCAAGAGGACTTAGTAGTAGACGAGAAAGTACCAAAACTTATGGTGTGGTACCAGCTGGCATGCCGACGGAATCTAACTCACAACCACTCCATCCGAAAGGGCTCGCTACTGGTGTAAGCGATGCCAAAGCTGCCAGATGAACAATCCCAAGACGCGTAAGCTGTGATTGATGCCTCCAAATGATTTCGAGGAGATCCCTTGGGAGAGACTTGTATTGACCTGATGGCCTTTACAACGTCGGGGATCCCAAGAAAAGAATCCCTGCCACCTTTCATTGCTTGACAATATTGATCCGTAACCGGATGGTTCGAGTGCGAGATCTGCTCCAAGGCAGCAGACGAAGTAGCCATCGTCCTAGAGCAAACGTGCTTACTCGGTATCATGGGCTGCTGAGGTTATCATGGATAGAGAAGTGAGTACCTGCAGAGGTCGAGAAGACTCTCCGGGATGAATATGGACTTCGTCGCAAGTTCATTACACGCGTAACCCTCAAGCCAACTCTATGGTCAGCGTGCTCATCAAACCATACGTACTTGATCGCTGTTCAAACATCAAGTGCCAAGACGACCTCGTGAATGGATCTGGGATGGAAGTCCTCACGGCGGTTCGCTTTAGCAATGAATGCCACGATTCATACCACCTTGCGTGCAACGGCTGCACAGCTCGTGTTCAATCGTGACGCGATTCACAACGTCCGGTTCGAAGCCAACGGAAGTACATTAAGGAACGTCGCCAACGACTAATCCACACAAAACAACGATAGGGAGAACGCAACGCGTATCCCTATCAATACAATGTCAACGATACGTGATGATTCAACAGTATCAGCCACCGCAAGTACGGTCAGCCAAAGTACAAAGGTCCTTACACTATAGACCGAGTCAATGACAATGGCACTGTACGCTCCAACATGCTACCGCCAACGGCGGCACAGTCTACCAGACTTGAACATAAGGTATATACACCCATACAAGGCCTGATCCCCTTTTAGGATTGCCATCGTGCGACGCACATGTCTCAATCCAAATCTCATTGCCCCGCACTTTAAATCATATGTTCTCCTTTCCGACTGCTGTCGCGCCTTCTGTGACCTTGTCAGGGGCGAATGCAATACACGGCTCTTAGCCTTATTCGCGACTCGATCCTAGATAGGGTTTGAGTTCGACTTTGACTGAGTCTCTCGTGAATAGTCATTTGAGACAGGGTTCTCAATGACCGCGCTAGTCATACTAGATTGATGATGAAACATCGCTCTAGATATTTAGCTAGCGTGGAGTACTTCACGCTACTAGATCCAGGCTAGACAGACCTTCCACGCGTTCCGTTTTAGGATCGTGGAGAGACGTAGGATTACTGCCACAACCTACTCTATCACACTTTATAGTCTCCCGCGGGAAGCCAGATCTACGATCCCTCGATGATGATCTCTCTCGTCGATTAGTTTTCATAGCTTTCTAATCTCTCTCATAACTTTCATTCTTCTCAAACTCAAACACTCGAAAGATCTTTACACTAGCTTTTAGCGTAGTTCACCTCCTCTTTTGTTCATTTATTTCGATCCTCCTATCTTTACTCTATCAAAATCGCGTTAACTCCTCTCTACAGAGGCTACTCCTCCTCTTGAAGAAGGCTCCACCATGACAGGCTCCTCTTGCTTGGCTAGCGGCAATAGCAGCGGCAGCCGTTCAACGATCGGTCCATGACAGGAGCTTCCGATTGACGGATCGATTTGGTCTTCCACGAAGCGACGACTCGGCTTATGCACACTACGGAATTTCATCCATGCGAAACTTGTGGGAAAAAGCGAGGCGAGTATCATGTGCATGTACATGCGTTGACTGTATCCCGTCAATACAATACTAGTCAAATACGTAGACTTCTACAGGGGCCTCTAAGTAATGCGCGCGGGGTATAATTCAAACCTCTGCCCCCATCAGTACCCTTACCCCTAAAAGCAAATCGTCTCCGGGAGACGAAATTTGCAAAGCTGCAGCCACCACAACGCCACCAGCACAGGACTTCTATGTCCTCGTCACTCCAGCAAAAGCATGGTGTATGATTGCAAAGATCGAAGGCCTATATTATTACCACTCCAGAGACCAAACTTGGTCGACGTTTCAAGTGGCATTCCTCGTCCCTCTTTGACGCAACATTGGAATCAGAATCGAATGATCCAAACCATGAGGTCATCACTGCTGCTCATCGCTCTCACGTTGTTGTCCAACTCAAAGCTGGCACTTTCTTTTGTACCCACCGGTCAAGTTGCGGGTCATAATATTGGCGCCAACCTACCCTTCCACCAAAAGGAAACGTCGCTGCGATTATCTTCTACGACGGAAATGTCTACCCTGACGGATGAAACCACCTGGAAACTTCGATTCGTTCTGCGAGGTATTCCCACAGCCAAGGGCAAGAAGGTAGATCAAATTTTCGATATCCACGCTCAATTCATCGAGGAAGATGGCTACGAACCTCCTCAGGGCTACGTCAAGCAGGTACCAATCATGGATGACAAAAATGACATTGACAATGACAACGACAAACCCCTGTTCCAAATCACCGGCAGTCGATGGCTTTTGTCAGAAGATCCCAACGAACGAAAAGATGGACTCTGGGTTTGGGGCTTGTTCAAAGAACCGCTCTACCCCTTTTTATTGCTGCAATTGCAAACAGAGAGCATTCCCTTGCCAGGAGAAGAGGGCGATTCCATCGAGCCATTGGCACTGTTTGCGCAAGTCACCCACAAGCGCGACCAGGAAAAAGGAGCTATTCTGTCACGTGCCGAGTTGAAGATTCGAGTAACGGAACTTGTCAAGGCTGACTTGTTTGGGGTATCAACCGCGGAGCTGTTTGAAGAAAAATCCGTTGGCCAATGCGTCTTTCAACCTTTGGTGTGAATGGAGAATGAATAAATGATCCATCGATTATTGCGAACGATTGAGTTGTTTCTTAGCTGAATGAAATACACGTATGTATGTAACAATGCAGCTATGAAAGATGATCTTTGGAGCCAAAGCATCCTCTGTTCGCCGCCGAATACTGTAAATAAACGCCGTTGTACATACGGAGTCGCTTCCTTTGCATATATTCATTAAATAAGATTAATCGCCTTCATTTTTGTGCTGCGATTTCTATTGATTGCTGTGTTTGTTTATTTATTAGTGGACGCCCATTTCCAACCATTTCGTGAATATTAAAATTGTTGGAAGGTGGAAGGTATTGCAGAATCTCAAGCTTCCCATGGTTTGGAAGCAGTCGATTACGTTGTATGTACCGGTACCGTAGGGTCTGATGACAAGCCAAAATCCAATTTATCGAACAGCAAGAAACCAGGCACCCAAAGCAAACTGCTAGAATTAATTGTCGCGTCTCCATAAACAAAATAACTGCGCTCCTTCGATTCGATCAGTCAACCCATGCCATGCTATAGCAAATCATCGTCGTTGTCGTCATCCGAATCCTCATCAAAAGCGTATTTCTTTCGTTGAATGCTGATTCGTTCCGAGGGTGCCGCCTGGGATGCTTCCCCTCGTTCCAACAGTTCCACCAATTTGGGTTCGTTAATTTTCCCCGGTAGTTGACCCTTCATGGCCATGGCCATGATTTGTTGTTCCACTTTCTTGGCTTTGTCCGGCTTGACCAACTTGATTCTGCCTAGCCGCGCCAGAGCTTCTTGTGATAATGCTTGCTCCAGGATTGCTGCTTTCTGCTCGTCCATCTGAAGCTTCTTCAACGCGGCGGCATCCGGTGCTCCACCAGCACCACCTGCACCACCAGCTGTAAATCCATCCGGCAGTTCGCCGGGGTTAATGTTGGTAACTGGTGCTAGGTTGTCCATCTTTGCGGTTGGCTATGTGGTCTTGAGAGGAGTTGGGGTGTTGTTACTGTAGACGCAGATAGACGCAGATAGAGCAGCGGAGTGATGGTATCACTACTACACTACTACAGTACGGTACTACTGTTGAGTTGTCATAGAAACAATTGAGATGCCAACCCAATAGATTTATTGAAAATAAAGTCAAATCAACAAAAAAAGGAAATATCAAAATACGGAAAGAGACGGTAGCTAGTCTAACTAACGGTATTCGGGGACCGAAATGCAGTTGCCTGAAGCTGTTGCATATTATTAGACTAGCTAGTAGTACGGCCGTATGGGATTTCTTTCAGCTGTAGTATGGGATTTCTCTCAGCTGCAGAAATGCGACTTGGTTGCCCAATCGAGAGAGCCTTATTTGTTTCGGTACCGTATGCATAGGATGGATGCATATGATTCGAATGGAGGTACATTATATGATTCGAATGGAGGTACATCTATTTGTGTGGGAATTGCAAGGTTTTCCTTATTTTCGTGCATTTCATTGCAACCCGATCAAAAGCTTCAATGCGTCATCAAATAGTAACTGTTACGTATCTGTTATGCTTTTCATAGAGATTTCATTTAGACACTACCTACTACTACTTACTAGCAATACGATGTTTGGTTTGCCTTTTCCGTTCGCAAATCTCAATACGGTACGGTAGCTAACACTATGAACTCTTCAGCTTGCCCAGCGATGCTTCATCATCGCCCTTTCGAGAAAGCCTTAGCATAGATGGATTGCTGCGTATGGTTTCGAAAATGGTTGAGAGATCAGTTTTGGATCCTTCCGCCGCCAACTGAAAGGGAACCATGCCGGTGACTGGGTCCACAACGCCCAGTGCGTCCGAATAGCAACTAATGATATCTCTGACACCTTGATTCCATCGTTTGCCTGCCTCCAGTGCCAAGTGTAATGGCAGTCGCCCCTTGGGATCTGGCACACACGCCGATTCCGCCGAAGCATTTAGTAGAATTTCAATCACCGAAGCCTGAGGAGAAGCGTCATCGTCTTCCTGGTTGTTCTCGTCGCTGTCAGTAACATCACCATGAATTCGGTCTTCCAACAAGTACCCTTCGTCACTCAGATCTCGCACTTTAAATATGGGAGCCTTGGCAGCGATAAGGAGTGGCGTAAGGCCGGTTCCACTTTCCAATTCGTCCGCTTGATGTGGATAAATGATGGTAGCAATTTTGACCACGGGGCGAGGACAATCTACGGCTGCCGTGGCATGAACCGCTTGAAACGCTGTGTGAAGAGCGCCGTCTTGCGCTGACATGCCCTTGGTGAGTCCAGGAATACCATCTCTGTTGTTGCCAGCATCCGTGCCATGGTAGGCATACCGCAAAAGCAATTCTGTTTTCCTCCACGCTTCTCCTAGAGAAAATGGAATAGGAGATGTAAGAATGGGAACCATTGCAAACAAATAATTATATTGCTAGAACAAACAACACAGGCAAAACGTACCTAGTTCTCCAGTGAGATCAGCAGGCCCTTTGACTCCATGAATGACATCGTCTCCAAGAATGACAAAATAGCGTACCCAGAGACGTAAAAGGGGAGTTAATCCTTCGTAATCTCGTTCGCAGACGGCATGTGGATTGGCTCTCAATAACACTTCGAGCACTTCAATCGGAGCTCCACATCGACAAGCTGCATGGAGTGGCGTGTCACCGTCCACATCGCGCATTTGGGTTTGATAAGGGACGCCCCCTTCGAGGAGGACACGAATGACATGGACCGAGGCATGCTGGGAACTGCAGGTGATGTGTAGAGGGTTCATGTTGGAAGTACCGACCATCGTCGATGCTTCTGGGTGCACTTTCAGCAGCGCTTGAACTACCACAGCAGGAGCATCGTGATCACAAGCAACATGCAGTGGTTTGCGACCTTGGACACCCACAGCACGTGCCTCTGGATCCAGCAAGGAATAAACCGAGGTAAAAACAACAGAAAACAAGACATTTTCAGTCAATTTTCCAACAGAGAGGTGACTCGTCCACATCAAGAGTTCAGAACAAACATCGTTCCTTTTTCTTTCTAAACGTACCGTCCGGATGTGAAGCGATGCGGGCCAATGTCCCAGCCCAATCGTAGGATTGAACCAACGACAACAGAACGGAATCAGGAGCCGTGGACTCTTCTTCTTCGTACCACTGCTCTCCGTCACTGTCAGAGTAGATTGCCATCTCGTAGGCGGCCATTGTATCCACTGAATTGAATAGTGGAATGGAATGGAAGGATGGGTGGAAATGTAACACAAGGTTGTCCAGTGTCCAACGGAATATTTCGTCGCGGATTTGGTGCTACGTTACTGTACGGGAACCACCAAAGGAAAGAGGAGACAATAGGAGTTCCAATTCGCTGATGGCAGACGGAGCTGGCTGCTAAAACCGGACTTGCCGCAGACCCAAAGATGAGTGCTGTTACTGTCGTCGCCTGCTGCTCTTGTTGTCACTGTCGGATCCGATGCTCGATCGCTGTGATGTGTTTCCTCAACTCATCGATCGTTTCAACAATAATTATTGTTGTGTTTCCCGGTGCTGCTCTCTCTGCGACATTGTGCGGAAGCTCTTGAAGAACCATACAACAGCTGGTTCCAGCTTGTAAGATTGCTGCCATAAATCCTGTGCGTGTCTCCTGGAGCGTCCGAGTGATGTCATCGATGCATCATCAGAGTGATGTAACTGAGGACTCACATTTGCTCGTGTCTTACTCATTCGTTGTATTGACGATAGAGCTAGGGATAAGACGGAAACAGGAGCCAACCACAGACAGCGCAGAGCTAGTCTACAATCAGGTGGTTGCGGTAAATTACAAAAAATTTCAAATCTAGCTAGCTAGTAGTTTAATCCGTGAGGTTTCCTCACGACTTAATGAAGGGGTTTGTAAGGGGCTAGTTGATCCAAAATTTGGCAGCACCACACTCTCTAAGAAACAGTACCAAGACATTTTTTAATGATCTTTATCCGGTGGCTTTTGGGCATGTTGGCACAGCAATGGTAAAGCTTGCCAGTAGGAAATCCTTTGCAGTGATAGTGGATAGGACATTCGACACTGTGAGTTCATTGAAAAAGCTTCGGGAAGAAAATGAGAGGGGCGATGTACAACTGGTAATGGTCCTTGGGGTGCAAAAAAAAACAAAAAGAGGGGACCATTGATTGTTTTCAATAAAAACAGGGGGTTTACCATGCACCACCCCCACAAACAGACAGCACCACTGAAGAGACAGGTGCTTTCTTTAAAGACCAATACCATAAGAACTCCATAAGACAGAAGGCGTGATGTCATGAGCTCAACTCATCTTGTCACAACTGCATTTTATTGTATTGCTCCGAATGATTCAATCAAATCCAAACGAATCGAATGGCTCCGATCACTACATGTTGTGCTTGGGTTCAATGCCCATCGTTTCATTGTTGTGGTTTGTTGTCCATATCAATATCTCTGCCATTTGCTGGCTATACAATGTAGCGGTACCTTTGATCCCTCCATCCTCGTTCGTGCCGCTCCTTGAATCTATACCCGTTGAAGCTATCACTGCATCCTCATTGTCGATATCTTGGCTGATGAGAGTTGCAATACACGGCTCTTAGCCTTATTCGCGACTCGATCCTAGATAGGGTTTGAGTTCGACTCATGACCGAGTCTCTCGTGAATAGTCATTTGAGACAGGGTTCTCAATGACCGCGCTAGTCATACTAGGTTGATGATGAAACATCGCTCTAGAGATTTAGCCAGCGTGGAGTACTTCCACGCTACTAGATCCAGGCTAGACAAACCTTCCACGCGTTCCGTTTTAGGATCGTGGAGAGACGTAGGATTACTACCACAACCTACTCTATCACACTTTATAGTCTCCCGCGGGAAGCCAGATCTACGGTCCTTTGATGATGATCTCTCTCGTTGATTAGGCCGCTCTCTACCCAAGCGACTAAAGTAGCGACTAAGCCATATTTCGTAGTTTAGTCGATAGTTTAGTCTCTGAGAGTGGTGTCTACCCAAGCGACTAAACGTCCCACGGACTAAAGGCTTTAGTCATTATGTTCGCTCACCGACTAACCAGCCTCCCGTTAGTCGGTGAGCGAACATAACGACTAAGGCCGCTCTCTACCCAAGCGACTAAAGTAGCGACTAAGCCATATTTCGTAGTTTAGTCGATAGTTTAGTCTCTGAGGGTGGTGTCTACCCAAGCGACTAAACGTCCCACGGACTAAAGCTTTAGTCATTATGTTCGCTCACCGACTAACGGGAGGCTGGTTAGTCGTGAGCGACATAAACTAAAGCTTCTTTAAGAACAGCAAATCCAACAGGAAACAATACAACTGCATGCCACCGAGTTGGATAACAAATTCCACACTCCTAGCCTCACTATTAGGTCATCGAATCAGTGCCAATAGAGGAGAGGTGCAAACGATCAAATGAATGATACTAGTAGTAGAGGTGCAAATGAGTATCGGATCGAAGGACCGAAGAGGAGTATCGGCCGATAGTAGAGGTGCGATCGAACGATCGAACGATCGAACGATCGAAGAGGAGACAGTCTTCGGTTGAGAATAGAAAGCCATCCCTCATTGCAGAGTATAGAGTGCGGGATGGCTTTCATTTCTCGGCCTTTGACTGAATGATAGTAGAGGTGCAAACCATGACAGAGGAGAGGTGTGTTTTGAGTCTTGTTATCTCAGTCTTGTTATCTCAAAAAGTAATCACTTCTGTTAAGTCTTTGTTTGAGTCTTTTAAATCCACCATGCTGATAGAATATTGGTAGCCCACCAAGTGATCACTTTTGTTAAATCTTTTTTGAGTCCTTTAAGTCCAGTATTGTTCCCATGAATTGTTTAGTCAATTTGTTTAGTCGCCATGGTAGACACCATGTTTTGACTAAAAACTCGACTAAATTGTTTAGTCCGAGATTTAGTCATCTGCTGGTAGACACCACCATTACTAAAGGATAATGACTAAATCTTGAACTAAACAACCACCTAAAGGATTCCTTTAGTCGCTACTTTAGTCGCTCCGGTAGAGACCGGCCTAAAGCTTCTTTAAGAACTCTTTAAGAATCAATCTTCAATCAGCCTCATTGCACAGCCTCAACAACAGAGGCATCTACTTGCCCAACAAGCCAAGCTGTAACTCAACCGTTTAAGTCACTGTCTTTATAGCCACTGTACCGGTAGCCTCTTTGCACCTCTGTGGTGGGCACCTCTGTGGTAGCTAGGCCATTATTATTATGTCGTCCTCATCGGATTCCGACTCTTCCAGGGAGGCCTTGGACATCGTCATGGGAATGGCAGATACCGCTGTAATGTTGGCCACGGATGATTACGATGGCACACAACAGCCCATGGTTGACCACCGTCTTTTGCCAAGGAAACCTCGGAAGCAATACAACCATGCCAGAGCTTTCCAGTGTATTCTAGACGACTATCTTGGACCGGTCCCTACATTTGATTTCAAGGAATTTGAGGATATCTACCGCATCAGCCGTCCTCGTTACCAGAGATTGAGAGAAGATGTCATGAATTCGGGTCATGAGTTCTACAGTGGGTCCACTGATGCTTTCGACCGGAAGGTATCATGTTTGGACGCACGTCTATTGATGCCGTTGAAATGTTTTGGCATACGGTGTTCCGCTCAACCATTCCGTGACTATTTCCAAATGTCGCAGACCTTCGCAAGGGATTGCCGCAGTAACTTTGATGACATCCTGGCTCATTTGTATCAAGACGAGTATCTTGGTTTTGCCGACTGCAGACTGCCACTGATTTACGAAATATTTCCAATCTTCACTTGGCGGCCCACGGTGTTCCTTGGAATGCTTGGAAGTCTTGACTGTATGCACAATCGATGGAAGCAGTGCCAATCGAATGGCAAGGAGCATTCAAGGAGCCAAAAAGGTCCTACCCTGGTTCTGGAGGCAATTTGCGATTACAATTTATTCTTCTGGCATGCTTCGTTCGCTATGCCGGAACACTCAATGACATAACAATTTTCGACATGTCGCCTCTGCTGGAAAACATGATCAGCGGGAAGCTTACCGATCTCGAGACTATTGTGGCGTCGTCCCTTTTGACATTGGCGATGAAGAATTTCCACAGATGTTTATTTTGGTTGACGTATATACCCACAATACTCCCGTTTGTCAAGACTTTATCCGAGCCAATTTTGGATTGGGAGAAACAATATTCCCTTGGCAGGAGGCGGCTAGGAAGGACATCGAGCGGGCATACGGTGTGATTCAGGCCAAATTCCAATTTATGGCTCGTCCATTCCTGGATTTGGAATTGCGCAAAATCGAAACCGTGTCAACACCTGCTCATTCTCCACAACATGTGTGTGTGGATCGGGTGATGGGATGTGAGGGCCAAGTACGATCCAGTGTCACTACAGTTGATCGAGAAATTGTCATCGATGTTCCGGCTGACAGGCAAACCGTCCAAAAAATAGTAGAGGAGCCACCCGAAATTGGTTGGAAGGAACAACCAAAGAGTGTTCGAGATACTATGGTTCGTAGGCAACATGGCATTCGCTGATGGATATCACAGAGCATGGCGTCTACATGTGGCTCTTGTAGAATTTAAAAATGGACACAAACTATAGTTATTGAATTAAACCTCGGTATAGTTTTTTGGGTGGCTAATGTTCCACTGTTGTCATCTGTCGATATACGGTGTTGCGCATATACGGTGGCGGCATTAGGACAAGTCGGAATTGTCATCGGCCACTCCTTTTCACTTACTTCTCCATTGGCAACAGCGCAGTAGCAGCCGCGGCAGCGGCAGTCGTAGTAGCCATGGGATCTGTCATTGAGGAATCAGGGCTGCCAGATTTCTTGTCTCTTCAACTACGGTTAGGAGTAGGCGCTTGTTTTTTGGTCACCTGTTGCTGTTGTCGCCCATCCCGCAATTGATTCTGCGCTCCTGGAATGCTTGTTCGTCAGCTGTGGTTTCTTCCAACAAATTTTCGGCCTCCGTCATCTTGCCAAACTTCATCAAAAGCTCCACCCGTTTCATCTTGGACTTCTGGATTCCACGGTGGACTACTCCCTCGGAGAGCATCTGCTGGGAAAAGGCAATGGACTCCAAATGTTGATTGCGTTCCTGGTTGCTCGAAGCCACCGAGTTGGAAAGAGCCAGGTTGAATTTTGTCGTATTTTTGCCAGTGGGTCGGTATGCAAAGAACCCATTGGATCACGATATTGTTGGCTTTCGGCTTGCTTTCGTCAACACGATTGGCTCAGCATTCAACTCATCATTCTGCGATCAGCTTCTGTCTCGGTGATATGGGGATCAAAGACGGGCCACTCGGTCAAGTGGGGAATGCAATTGCGATGATTGAAAGCTTCATTGTTCTCCTCATTGTATAGCTCCACGGCAAAATCAATATAGTCCTCCTCTGAATTGAATCCAGTACGGTGCTCGGCATGGGCCCGACGGTAACAAGCCATGAATTTTCGGCAGCGTCCCGCAAGTAAATTCCAACGGCGACGGAGCTGGTCAGCGACTCGCGTTGTATAGATAGTGTCACCGTCTTCATCAGGTTGAGCCTCTTGGGAGAGCAGTTTGTTGTATTTTGGAGCAACTCGATTCTTCCAGAAATCTCCTCTCTTCATACCGGTGCCCTTCATGCTCTGTGGTGGCACTGATGAAGGCACGGCACAATGTTGATCCTCAAAATCATCAAAATTCGTACCACGCTTGCGCTTGGACTTGCCGTCGTCATCAGCGACAGCGGTGGTCTTCTTGACTTTCTTAGTATTGTTTTGCCGGCTTTGCCGCTTTCCGCCTTTGCCGCCTTTGCCGCCTTTGCCGCCT